TCTGACTTCTCTTTCACCCGCCATATGATCATGCAATCGTTGGTGCTGTGAAATCATGATGTCATTGTGTCCCGGTCACGTGTTTCTCTAAGCCCGGCAATACACTCCTTACCCGTCAAACATGGCGGCATTGTATGAGGGGCACGTCAGGTCAGCGTCGGCTATAGCGACGATCGAACCGGTGCTGTCGTTGGTTCAAGTTTTTACTGGTCGGACCGCCAGTTCACCGGTTCATTTGCTGGTTTTTAAGCCATAAAAATATGTAAAAATAGGCCAAATATACTAAGTTTCTAACCTTTGACAGTTAAGAAGTGAGATGGCATGCATCTCAATTCCTATAGAGAAAGAGATGTCATTTGATGCATAGGATAGGAATTTTTTCATTGAGTCTTAGCTAATGTTTTTTTCCTCCAAAATGTGAAGCATTGATTCCTATCCTATATAGGACTAGGAATCCATTCCTACAAACCAAAGGGTCTCAAAGGAAATTTTCCTATGCAAATCCTATCCTATAGAAATCCTATGACATTCCTACAAACCAAAGGAGGCCTAAATGTGATAAGAAAGTTGGTTGTTGGACCAAATTGGTGACGTCGGCCTGTTTAATCGCGCCCAAGGATAAATACCTAACGGCCACAATTATTTTTCCTCTTTCCCAGCAATGCTAGCGTGCATTATCGATTCAACTAGTTTCGGTTTTTTATCTTGTTTGGGCAAGAAACCGGCTGGTTCAACTGGGTTTGTCCGGTCCATTAGCAGAACGGTGTGATTAGCTTATAAAACCGGCAAGGCCGACGGTTCCGGGTTTTCCCAGTCCGGTCCGATTTTTTAACTATGCCTCCAGATCCAAAGTCTATGATGTTAGAGTTCTTACAAAGTTTGTGATGTTGTCATGTTGCTAGCAAAGTTGAAGCCTCGTCCACAGTTATGATTGTGACATACTCCTTTCTGTTGGGAGTATATCTTTTGTTGGCACTAGCTTAAATCCTTTAAATCATGTTGTAGATCCTTAAATCCCGTGATGTTTTCATGAGTAGCTTCAATGTTAGGTGTCATTTAATTTAGTTTTCATTGTGGTTTTAGTGTTAGGTGTGTCTCAGTCACACAGTTCATTACTTTTTCTTTTCAGTCCAATTATGGGCAATAATTTTTGCCCAACACCCAGTTTCAGTGACATTTTAGTTCAGTTCAGTTATGGGGCAACCATGGTGAGAACTTCTTGTGGAGCAAGCGCTCATGGTATGCTTTGCATGGGTGTAGGCTCCTTGTGTTCCTGTGATATACGGTTTGAAGTGCTCCTTGTTTATTGAGAAACCATGGTGGGGTCCTAGGAGAAAAAGAAAAGACTCCCAAAACACCAAAGAAGAGGCTGAGGTCACCATTTGTGGTGCCTGTAGTGGGATCCCCAGGGGTTAATGTCGTGTTATCTCATGCATCTCCAAGACTAGGTGTGAAACAATCATCGCCAACACTGCCTCAGATTCCTCGTAAGTTCTAATGTCTACTTTGCACATATGTTAAGTTTTAATGTCAATTGTGCGCATATCTCAAATGTCTTGGCATAAGTTATTTGTTCATCTCAAATTCCATAGGTCTTTCATGTAGAACAAAAAGAAGTAAACTTAAATCTAAAATCTGGAATGATTTTGATCTTGTGTATGATGGCAACAAACTCAAGGAAGCCAATTGTGAACATTGCATGAGAGTTTTTGTGGTTACAAGAGAAGTTGTTACTAGTCAATGCATTAGGCATTTGTTAGTTTGTGAGGAAATAGCTAAGGTCAATGAGTTTCTCGATTCAGTTAAAATCAGCCATGCCACAACCTGATCCAAATAGTCTAGAAAAATGGAACTATGCCCCTGAGGGAGCTCATTGGGATTTGGTGGGGATGATTGTCGTGCATGAATTGCAATTCTCCATGGTGGAATATGTTGGATTTAGGCAATTCATGCATAGTCTGAATCCCACATTTTAGGTGGTGTATAGGATGACAATAAGAGTTGATTGACTCATGCTATTTGATGAACAAAGGACAAAGCTTCTAGTGGTTATACAAAACTTAACCTCTCATGTCATTTTAACCGCCGACATGTGGACTTTAAGTCAAGTCATGAGCTATATGTGTATAACATGTTGTTTTGTTGGTGCAAACTGGAAATTGCAGAAAAGAATGATTTGGTTTTCCAAGGCACAAACCCCACACGGTGGAACAAATTTATTTAATATCATGTTAGAATACATGCAACATTGGGGTTTGCCAAAGAAGGTTTTCTCCATTACTTTAGACAATGCAACAAATAACAACTCGTGTGTGAGCTTCATCAAATCCATTAGGCTAAACAATGCAACAAAGAATTTGCTACCTTCTAAAGGAGATCTTTTACATGGTCAATGTGATTCCCATGTGATCAACCTCATTGTCCAAAACGGGTTGGAGATTACTTGCAAGGAAGTGGATAATATCAGGGAAAGCATCAAGTTCGTTAGAAGCCCCCCACTCGGAAACAAAAATTGAAGGAAATAGTTACACAAGAAGGCATTGCTTGCAAAAAGAACCTATCTCTAGATGATACACACCATGAAGAGCTGAATGAATGTGGCAGTGATAGTGAACAAAAAGACACACATGCGGTCAGTACTAAAGATGTACAAGTCGGTGTTATAGGAAATTCTTCATCCATGGCTAGAATATGTCTACTTTCTATGTCATGTGTCACAGGATGTAAATTGTGCACTATAATCTAACGTCTTTAAGTACATTATGGTGGGAATATTATCATCATCAACTGTAAGCAGCGGTGACTAAGGGTCTACATGTGTTGCTTCAAGAGTTCAAACAACTCATGTCTCTTAATGCATATGTATTACCCAGCTCAAACAAATCAAAGAGAAAGCGGGTTCACCTGGTGAGTAGGCCAACTCTTTTGTGTAAACACTTCCTTACTTTTGACCTTTATTCACCCATGTAACTGTATATTACGGAAGATGCATCTATAGCTTTTGGAATTCTCCCATATGATGTAACCTGCATGTATTTTTTCTGTGGGGAAAGTTAGAATGCTCAAATGATGGCCTTACTGCAGGTCATTTGCCCAAGAAACAACAAATTGAACCAGTCATCAGTCCACTAGCAAAGCCGCAGGAAGAAACAGTAGCAGTCGAGCACGGCGTGACACACCAGCATGATGAACTAGATGCTATGAAGAAGGCCCTGACATGGCAGTAGCTAGAACATGAAGTTGTCAAGAAGGCCCTGGCAAAGCAACAACAAGAACGTGAAGCTATGAAGCGTCTCCTGCCAGATGTGCAACGTCAACTTGAATTTGTCAACAGTACCCTTCTAGAGCAGCAAAAAGTACTTGAAAATGTCAAGAATGCCCTGCCAGAGCAACAGGATGACATCAGTACAACCATATTCGATATATCAACAATGGCCTCCAAGAGCAACAGGAAAAACTTGCAGTCGTCCAGAAAGCAAAGGAAGAGAAAACTAAGGCTATCAAAAAGATATTGATGAAATTGATGCCCTAGTTAGGTACATCGTCAAGGTTGCCGTGCCAGGATGCCATGAAATTGAGTCATGTGTCTAATTTTATACTGTGGTTTTTTACCATGGCTGGTTATTGTAATGTCTAAGATAGTTTGTTTGAAAATTGTCAAGTTTGTGGTTTAATAAAAGTAGCGACATCTCAATTTGCTTTCAAATTCAAATTTTGCACAAATTCATATCAAGAAATTTCAAATATGCCCGCCAAATTTTGCAATATAAAACAAATTGATAGCGCATACAAACTGTGACGGTTATAGAAGCCGCCACCGGCGTCTGGTCCCACATGTAAGAAGCCACACCACCCAAGTATGGACCCGCCTACCAGCATCCACATCAGCACAACAATGGGCCCACATGTTAGAACCGTTGGGTCAGATGACACATCGCCACCGAAAAACGATGTCTGGTCCCACTTGTAAGCAGCCACGTCAGCATCTTCTGGGCCCATATGTCAGCAGCGTTAACTAGTGAAAACTGACGCCGATTTATTACTGACGGGACCGTCGGCAATAAAACCCATGACTGACCCACATGGAAGAAGCCACGTCAGCAACTATTGGCCCCAAGTGTTAGAATCTTTGTCCGGTCTAATCCATGGACCGATCACCGGTGATGGGATTATCGTCACCAAAAAGATCTTAGGTGACAAATTGGGCTATCATAGGTGACTGATGTCTACTACGCAACTTTATTCTTGTAGACTCGTGTTAGGCCTCCAAGCGCAGAGTTTTGTAGGACGGTAGCAACTTTCCCTCAAGTGGATGACCTAAGATTTGTCATTCCGTCGGAGGTGTAGGATGAAGATGGTCTCTTTCAAACAACCCTGCAACAAAATACAAGAAATCTCTTGTGTCCCCAACACACCTAATACAATGACAAATTGTATAGGTACACTAGTTCGGTGAAGAGATGGTGA